CGTGTGCCCTTGTGGCCAAGAAGGCCAATGGTCTCCTAGGGTGCATTAGGCAGAGTGTGGCCAGCAGGTGGAGGGAGGTGATCCTCCCCCTCTCCTCAGCCCTGGTGAGGCCTCACCTGGAGTACTGTGTCCAGTTCTGGGCTCCCCAGGACAAGAGAGACATGGCAGTACTGCTGGAGAGAGTCCAGGGGAGGGCTACAAAGATGATGAGGGGACTGGAGCATCTCTCCTCTGAAGAGAGGCTGCGAGAGCTGGGCCTGTTTAGCCTGGAGAAAAGAAGACTGAGAGGCGATCTCATAAACGTGTACAAGTATCTGAAGCGGGGGTTGTCAAGAGGATGGGGCCAGACTCTTCTCCATGATGCCCAGCAACAGGACAAGAGGCAACAGGCACAAACTGAAACACAAGAAGTTCCATCTGAACATGAGGAAAAAAACCTTTTTACTGTGAGGGTGACAGAGCATTGGAACAGGTTGCCCAGAGAGGTAGTGGAGTCTCCTTCCCTGGAGATATTCAAAACCCGTCTGGATGCGATCCTGGGAAATATGCTCTAGAGGACCCTGCTTGAGCAGGGAGGTTGGACTAGATGATCTCCAGAGGTCCCTTCCAACCTAAACCATTCTGTGATTCTGCAAATAACCAGCTGACCTGTACAGTAATGTTTCTCACAAATAAACGAGTTTGAAAAGTATGCACATTCTTTGCCCAGGAAACACCTCTCTCCTGATCCTGAAACTTTAGGGCCACTTCCTGAAACTTCAGGAAATGAGCACAAGCTTATAGTGCTGCGTGTGTTCTCCAGCTGCAGTAAGGATGCAGTTAACTGTATATAGCAGAGTGTTTTTACAGACAGTATACAGCAGAGTATTTTCACAGAATGAAAGAGTGATTGAGGTGGAAGGCACCTCTGGAGATATCTAGTCCAACCTCCCTGCTCAGATCAAGGTCAAGTAGATCAGGTTGCCCAGGATCGTGTCCAGCTGGGTTTTGAATATATCCAAGGATGAAGACTTCACAACATCTCTCAGCAACCTGTTCCAGTATTTGACTGCCCTCACAGTAGCAAAGCTTTTTCTTATGTTTAAATGAAATTTCTTGTATTTCAATGCAATTTGTGCCCATTTTCTTCATTAATAATGTAGCATTTACATATTTCTTACTAACACAGTGTAAAACATGTGGAGAAGAAAAAGTCTGCCTTTCATGCCATGGGACTGCCTTTGAGGAAAGCATGCTCCTGATTCTAGCAGTTCCAAAGAGTGATGCTAACCTTCATTTCTCATATACAAGGAGGCACACTGCTAAAGCCACAAGGTGGCATGTACCTCCAGCTGTTCAGATCCCATCCCACTGCTTAGCGGTTAAAATCAATACTAAAGTGACTGTAACAGGTTCTTTTGAAGCAAAGGCCATAAAAATCACAGTAAAAAATAACATTGATGTTAATCCCTAGTTTCTACTGTTTGACAGAGGAAATTCAAACAAGTATTTAGAGCACCTAAATAACATAGGTGGAGCTCAGTGTTTCTCCAAATTACGCTGCAAGGGTTTTACATGTTACTGTTACTATCAAGGGAGAAAGGAGGCTATCTTCAGTGGTTCTTCTGTTATCACTCTGGGGATCTACAAACAAGAAGCCATGAACAAAAGGGTGGGAAAATGAACACACACACACACACTAGTGATTTTGGCCAATAGTCAAGTCACCAAGAAGCACAGTCTCAGCGATGCAAACTCTGTTGGTGAGTCTAGGCAAAGATTACAGCCAGGAAAACATTTCTGAGTTACTTTTGAATAGGAAGTGGTGACACTGGCAGTGCTGGCAATTCACATCTGTTGTCTGTCATCTCTCTCTCTCTCTCTCTCACTCTCTCCATTACGTGCCAGAACCACAAGATGCTCTGAGGCAACAGCAAGACACAGGCACAGAGATCACAGCTGATTAGAGTAGCTCCCCACCAAAACAGTGGAGTTGGGATGCTTTTATGGGGTGGAGAAGGACACTATTCACGCACTGCTGCATCCCTTCCTGAAAGCACTGCAGTGGTCAAAATGGGAGGCGGGACAAGGAAAAATCAAACTGCCTGCTTTCAAATCTTGTGTGTCAAGTCTTTTAGTGGAAAAAAATATATATATATAATTCATTCCTCTTATCAAAGATAGAGCTGGAAAACATGAACATGAATTCAAAGTATAATATGACAAAATCTTAGCAATTATTCGAAAATCTCTTGATTACATCTGATCTATTCCTTTTTGTTAGGCAATGTCATCACTATTGCTATAACCCTTATGTGGACAGTGCTGCGTTTTCTGACATTAAGGGTTTTTCTTCCCCACACCAAATGCCTTTAAAAAATCAAATTCCTTTTTTACCAAGATTCTCTCCCCTCTCTTCCCTCTTTAAAGCAACCTTAACAGCCTGCAAGAGAGTACCATTTCTGCTATGCCTGACTGGTACAAAGTGTTTGGGAAGAATAAAGGCCTTTAGATTATCTGGCATCAAATATAAATGTAAATGTGTTCAAGAACTGTAGAGTAATTATAGATGCTGTACGGCAGAAGCCTGGCAGCAGATACCAGTTTGAATGCAAGAAATTTCATCAGCTTCAAGTCTCAAGAGTGGCAATTAAGTCTTGAAGAGCTTTTGTAGGGTTCTATTCACAGACCCTGAGTTGGGTGGAGGGGTTGAATAATTTTTTAACATATCAAACAGACCTTTCTCACATTTAATTTCTAATTAACAAGCTAAAAGCAGGTAGTGCCTTCCTGCCTCCAGGTATCCACCCTTTGTACACAGTCTGCTAGAGAAACAAAAACATCAGACTCCACAACACACCCAAGGCTTCTCCTCAACACCACTGGAAAGCAGCACCTCCTGTTAACAAGTCTGAACATTTTGCTAGCTGGGCAGCCCACGCGTCTTACCACTTGCTGCACATTCTGTGCCACAGAGAGAAATTCTTTCGACTCCTTCTGCCTGTATTCTGGAAGAAATTCAATGTTGGCAACACGAAACAATCCAACAAAATACAAGGCATCTTTGTTTTGTGCCTGAACTGCAAGAAACAAAAACCACAGTTAGCCTCCAATTATTTAATAACAACACAGTGCTTTTACTGATCAAATTCCAAACCAAATTGACCTATCCAGCCTTACAGTGGAGAGGACTCTACCAAAAGAGCACTATAGTTTCACAGCCAAACTGTTCTAGACAAGCATCACACTATGAAGACTAATTGAGCACCCGCAACTCCACACACAAGGAAAGATACCAGTGTACAAATGAAGTGGAAAAATGAAGAGAGTATCAATATCCAGATCCTGGAATCTCCCTAAGGAATCTTATTAGCCTCAGGGGTCTGAAGAGGAGAACATAGTTTTTTCCTGCCCACTTAGGCACATGAAGTGGGAAGGAAACAATCCACAGGGGTGATAACCCCATACAGTGTTTTTATAGATCTTGGAAAAACACTTTTGCCTTCTACGTTTCGCTCCCTGAAACCTTTTAGCTTCTTTGTATCTATTACATATGAGAGGCAAAGGGCTTGCTTGGCCTTTAGGTAGCCAAGAAACACAGTGGGAATCAGAATTCTTGAGGAATCAAGTTCACGGGAGCTATCAAGCCTGCACGATTAGCTAGCACATGTAAAGAATGCTTGGTATAACCCATTTAAAAAAAAGAAACACACTTCCTACAGTGGGTGGCTGTGCGCTCTTTTGTAATTACTTGTTCATCCAACCTTCTGGCACAAGCCCTAACAAAGACAATCAAAAGTCCTCCAGGTCTCTCTCATTTAAATAAGATGCAAGGTTATTTTAGAAAAAGCCTTCTGGACAAATGAGATCCTAAAAATAACCAAGAGCGCCGTTGGGGATAGTGATTGGCTTGAGCTTTCAGTAACTCACCAATGAAGAGCCACAGTAAAGTCCAGGTTATAATGCCTAAAATGAATAGAACAAGGGTAAAAAGAATGATTTTGTTGCTTTGAAAATTCCATATTGGCTTCTCTTCTTTGTTCAATTTCAATTTGCCATGTTTTTTCCTTGCCAGAATCCTCTTTGCCAATCTATCTTCTGCAGTTACCATTTGGACTGAGATGTTGGATACCTATAATAGGGTGAAAGACATCAAGCAGTATGGAACATACAAAAAGCAGTTTCAAACAGCAACTGGCTGACCAACAACTAGAGCAAATCCCCACACACATTCGTTTGTTACCACACAAACCACTGCTACATTAGTAATAGTTGTGTAAAACTCCAGTCAGGAAGCAGGATCTTGTTCTTCCAGAAACACAGCAGACATAACACAGAGACAATCCCTATTGCCTAAGGTTTATTGCATAGGAACACAAGAACACCATGTACCCTAAGACAACGGCTTACCATGCAACTGCCACCCAGTGTTAACCATCTGAATGGGTGCTGATAGCCTCATGCATCCCTCATTAGCATGAATGCTATCAGCCCTCTTTAGTCAAAAGGGCGGGCAACTTTGAATTACCTTGCATTGTCTGTGGCTGAGAGGCATACAGAGGCGAGTATTGCAGAAGGGCAGCTTTTCACCAGCAGCTGGATAATGAAACCTAGCAAGGAGTCTCACGCCCCAAATAGTTGCTATGGGTATGCAAGTTCAGTGCAGGAGCAGAAACATGTTCATCTGTTCACGCCACCCTTTATTTGAAGTGGGAAGCGAGTTATTAACTACTTGAGTAATGTGTTACTTTTTCCCAATACTGTGCCCTTTTCTTTCTCTGCTAGGTACCAAGGGGCAGGCATATGCACACTGTTCTTGCTTCCTGCCAGTCCAGGGTCAAAACGTCATGGACATCCCAAAAATAGCCACTTTCTTCTCAGACCAAAACGTAATCCAATACAAATGGGCTCACCCCATTCATCCCTCCAAAGATATCTCAGCCTCCTTTCAGGAGGAGGAGCAGTAGGCATGGCCAACTTCCTTCTACGTGTCCAGCTCCTTTTGAGAAGTGCTTCCCAGCAAATGGGAGGACACAGCACAGTTCTTGCTGTGATGGGATCCTGGACAGGGTTAGCACCTAGTTATCATCTGGCCCCTTGGCAGAAGCCCAGATTACCTAACACTACATACAAAATACCTCCTATCTTAACCAAGTCCAAAAGACTGTCCTATGTGACCATCATCGGCAAGAACAGTTTTTACTTCCTGCAAGTATCATATCTATGTACAGTTTGGCCAGTCCTGCAGCAGGAACTCAGGATGTTAACAAGCACATTTAAGCATTCAGGTAATGCCTATCAATTGCTATAGGCATTGCAAGAGCTGCCCAAGGGAATCTTCCGGACTCACGAAATTCTTACGTAGAGAGCTCCTGTAACAGTTAGTCAAATGCTTTGTTGTGAGGCCAGCTAGAAGTTCAATCACATTTTCTCAAGTCAATTTATTGCATTAGCCATGCATAGGGTAGCTGGGGAGTTCAAGGGAAGTCCAGTGAATTAACGATCAAGTGCACAGGGTATGAATACAGGCATAGCCCTGCTACCTAGCTACAGCACAATTATAGCTATGGACAAGCTTAAATTTCATTCTTATATCACAATGATAATTTAAATATGATAATTTTGCTGCCTCTGCGAGGAAGATTCAGCAATACACTGCACGATACTAGCAAGAGGGAAGCTCTGCAAGAGGCTGTCTGGGGAAGCAGCGGGGTCTCCATGGCTGGAGGTATTGACAAAACACCTGTTAGCAATCATCATCAGCAGCAGATCTTTAGTGGAAAACGTCTCCAATGAAGCACAAAACAGGGACAGAATGAACTGGCTCAATATTTCATATAAAGATGAAACTGAATTTCATCACCATAAGGATAAGGGAAAAAACTCTTTACTGGTTTTGATCTTCATCCTTGGAGTAGCCTTATATATTTTAAGGGCATTTTCAGAGTCGCTGTCTCTCCTCTCACAGCTAATTTTCTGCCACTGTGGGGCCAGGACCTAGCTCAGAGGTACCTCAGCTCTTAGTGGTGCAAATCAAGAATCTCTGGCCACGCCCACTGATAGTGAACTGCTTACTCAAGGTGCAGATAGTCTAATTCTGCTGAGGGACTTACCCCATCCCATCATCCATCCCTTTCAGTGCCCACACGGAAATACACTGAAGTAGTTCATCAACAAACCAGAACACGTGCATATGCGATAGCACAGGCCTTGACTTGGGCAGATCTGAGTGTTTCCTATGCTCACTAGGTCCTTGTTATTGTCTGCAGAGCTTCAAGGGGTAAGCAGCACAGAGAGAGGCTGCAACAAGCTGCCAGGCTATTTGCCATCATTTCATTCCTCGGAGCCCCATGGAAGGTACATGCAAGAGTGAAATGTGTGGCCCACAGTAGACTAAAAAGTGTGAGCACGAGACTCATTTTTCATCCTTACTGACTCTATTTCGTTGAAGGAGGAAAAAGACTGCAAATATCAGGAAGTATCCAGTTAAGAACAGCACTCTGAATTAGCAATGTGGGATGCCAAGTGCAACTCAGCACCTGCAAACAGCATGCACCTTTGAAGCTTGACTCCCAGGCCAAGCGTAACTACTAGTCATTGGCAAAAGCAGTCTCCAAAAAGACTGTCTAATCTACAACAAGAGATTGTTTGCTTTCACCTAGCACTAGCTGGACCATATCTGAAGTACTATGCCCAGTTTTGCGTCCATCAGTACAACAGAGATATTGATAAATTGGAGTAATTCCAGGGGAGGGCCACCTAGGTGGCCAGGGGCTGGAGCACATGATGTGTAGATAAAGGCTGAGGGCACTAGGATGTTTCACTGGAGAAGAAAAGGCAAAGTAAGTGTATGCATTGTAAATTAATGATAGATTTTCACTACCTGAAGGAGGTTATAGAGAAAACAGAGCAGGACTTTTCTCAGTGATGCACAGTGAAGAGACACAAGAGCCATGTGTTGCAGCAGGGGAAATTCCAGTCGGACATAAGGAAGAACTGTTTCATCGTGAGGCTGTCCAAACAGTGGGGCAAGGGCCCAGAGAGGTCAGGGAACCTGCTTATCTGGAGATATTTGAAACTCAGTACACTAACAAGGATGTGAGCAATCTGCTCTTTGATGTTAGTCCTGCCTTGAACAAAGGAATGGTAGATCATCTTCAGAGGTCCCCTCCAACTGAAAGTTTTCTCTGATTCTCTAATATAACTGCCCTTATAACGCTTCACAGCTAGAGCATCTGCAGCCATCACAAATATCCCTCACCAGGCCAGTAGTCAAATACAATGAGTTTAACTTCTGAGCTGAGGATGTTCAAAGATGATGGAGGGGAGGAAAAAAAAAAGAAGAAAATGTTTATTACTAAAGTAATGACTGGGTTAATACAGAGCACTTTACCACTTCCTCAAACAAATGTGAAGATACTAAACTGAAAGACTCCAGACTAATATCTGTGCCAAAGTAATTAACAGCAATTGTTTCTCAAGTTCTCAAAAAGTGAACTGGATTAGATTGTCTTCTATATTTTTTAAATGCTTTATTAAGGATTCTATATAAGAATGAAAATCAAATGACCTATTTGCTTATTTAAAGCTCTGATCTATTACGTAAAGTTCCTTGATACTCTCAGGTATTCACTGGGACAGCATGAGACAGCTCAATGAATACTCAGTTCTAACATTTGAGATTTGAGCCACTTTACGGATTCACTGGGAACACTTGCCACTTTCAACAAGAATAGCTTCTATTTGAGTTTGTCCATGCCATTTCTGTTTGTTCCTGTAGACCTCACCAGACAATTATTCTTAAAAATTAGACATAGGCAGTCCCCGTCCAAGATCAATAAAGGCTGCTCAGAATTGACATTACTGGAATGTACATACACGCTCAGAGCAATCAACATCTTCACTGCATCTACTGTAATCATGACCTCATTAAAAAAAAAAAAAAAGCAGTTCGTGCATTAAGGCTTGTTTGGCAAGCCTCTCTTTTATGCAAGCAATCCATAGCAATACTGATTGTTATGCTCTAGATTTTCAACATATCCTTAAGTTAAATGAGTTTACCATAAACATTTCATAGCAAGGAAAACAATGGCAACATTGTTTCCTCAATAAGAATGGCAATTCTTTATTCAGCTTTCTTTTGCTGCAGCTCAGTTTCTGTATTCAAGAACTGGTTTCCAGCTTGCAATTCGAGTATCAAAACACACTAAATTATTCAATCACTTTTTGTCATATTAATCTTTATGCAGTAACCTGCTTCTGTATCTCCTCAGGAAAAAGCAAAACAGAACACTTCACTTAATGTTGCCTTTCTTGCCTAGAAACTGATTTCTTATTGGAAAAGCATAGTGTCATGACACCCCCAAAAAAAAATTCATATTGCCACACTGACTTCCCATTATTTCAGTTGTCTATAAATACATGTTACTGGCAATCTGAAGATGCACAAAAACACATTGACGGTTCCAGGTTTAATTATAAAACTGATAAAGTTATAACACAGCTAGCTGGGATGTCAAGCTTAATACTTGACTTAGCAGATCATAACTGATCTAATAGTGTCCAGAAGCATATGAAATCAAGAATGTTTAAGTCAACTACTTACAGTTAGTTCATCTTCAGGTTTGGCTGCTGGGCGATCATTTTTTTCATCCATTCTAGCAGAATTTGTTTTATTGTTTATCCCAGATAAGAAAGAGCCTTGCACCTTTTTCTAGGCACTACCGCCACTTCTTTTCAAAGGCAGTTAACAGGCAATGTCTAGGATTGAAAGAGGCATCAATTTACTTTGATGAGTTTCCAATTGTAATTTCATCTGCCCTATTACTCATTTGTGAATTAGAAGGATGCTATCCAGTAACTTCAGGTTTGAAAGTCAGACTGCATTTAAAAAGGCTTTTCATTATCTTTTTAAGCTGGAAGACTCCAACTTGTTAACACACCAAATCACAGAGCTAAAAATCCAATTAACAGCAAAGCTTAAGATTAGTCACCACAAACAAGAAAAGTAGCAAGTAAAAAGTAAATGTGAGAGCAAAATTATAAAACTAAAATAAAATTAATGTAAGCACCTTAGGTAACGGTCCTGCAAATAATGGATAACCACTGCGAACAAAAAAAAAAGGATTCCAACTCTTTTCCAGAAGTAAAGTACCTTCTGAACATCATAATTGAGTTATTTTATGGTAACCTGGAAGTAAACTGCTCCACAACACGTTTTATATTATTAAAATAGAATAGGCTTCACACTGAGACAGTGAAGCTCAAGAAACGCTTCTTTTTGTAATCAGACACACAAAGTCACCTGTGTCATAAGAGTCCCATCCTATCTTCTTTGGTAATTAAATATTTATAGTGGATGCAAAACTGTACTTCCTCCAATGGATGCTAACTATAGAGTTGTCTTTATTTTTAATTGATTAACAATCTCAATGCCTTCATTAGGTCAAGTTAAGAAACAGACTGCAGAAATATTAGCTTTTTGATTTAAAAAAAAATGTGTGTGTATACATATATATGTACACATACATTCTCTGAATTTATCTTCAGAGATACTAAGCTTAGACTAAGAATCAGAAAACTTAGCACCATTGTAGTGGAGAGGTATAGGACAGAAGAGAGAGTCAGATCTCATGACAGGCAAGCTTCAGGTAAGGCCTATGCTCCGTAGGTATAACCAGCAATAGATGACTTCAGAAGTAGTGCAAGAAATCCTACAGTTACGTAACGTACTTGTAAAGTAAGAAGTTTTTTTGTCTGTGTGTCAATCTCGTGCTTCAGGGCATAAGCCAAATATTTATTGGTCCTCTGTTGTTATTTCTGCTAGAACTGTAATGCATTTTATCCATATAAAGTGAGTGACACCTTAAGTTCTTGACATTATCAATGCTTTGGTAACATAGGAAAACCTATCAACTTATTCCATATTACTACATATAATTGCTTCCAACTCCCACTTACTGAGATTTGCTTTAAATATTAAATTTAAATATTATATTTAAATATTATATTTATTAAATAGTTTTGCCAAGACTACTGTGGTCTCTCAAAGTATTTATGTAATTCCCAAAAGCCTTCCTCAAAACTGAGCACAGGCAATTACTGCCATACAAACAGTATTTCAAAAGTTTATGCAACAGATAAAGAGCATTGTACATCAAAACTGACAAAGGGAAAGTATGTTTTAAGTTATGTATGTTTATTCAACAAGTCCTTTATGCTCTGGGGAAATAAAAATATCTCAAAATTTCATTTCTTTTAGGCAGTTTTACTTCATATATTTCTACCCGAGAAGATAAAAATAACCATGGTGTTTGTTAAAGTAGCAACAAAAAGTCAATCATAAGCTATAATGCTAAACATGTTTTATACCTGGTAATAAAACTATATCCCATGTTCTCTAGATTACACAGACGGTTTGAGGTAGAAGTTATTTCTGTTCCTTAATTCAGACAAATAACATCACGTGTGTATCACATTCTATCTTAATGTGTGTCTGGGTCAGTTTAAGTACATATGAAATAAATAGGTGAAGCAGAAGTTGGAATTCATCCTAAAGCATGTCTAATTGAATTTTGTAGTATTTTGAGGTGCTTACTTTCCCATCTTCTTTAAAAAAAAGAAAAAAATTTTGGGGTTATTCAAGACAAGTGTATTCTCTTTCCAAGTGAAGTTAATAATAAAGAAACTGGTAAACAGAAATAATAGATAAAACACATTAGAAGTAAAATTATCTTATGAAAATGAGCTTTGCTGCTTCCTTTTATTAATATACAGGGATTTATATATGTATTTTCTTCTATCTCATTAATTGCACATTTTCTGTATAAGGAAGTCTGAAGGCTAAAAAAAAAGTCCTAACTCAAACCATAGGCTAATTTTCAGTTTCACCTGATAGATACCAGTGATCGTCAGCTTGAAAGGTTAATATGAACCAATTATTCTGTTTCTGAGCTTTGCGGATCCCCCTGAAAGGGCCTTTGGCTTTGAGGCATTACTTTGTACGCCGCCCATTAAGCAGCTTCATTTTGTATCCTGCACGTAACATATCAGAACACTTCTGTTATCTCATTCTGACTTAGTTCCACATAAATATATGCACTCAACATAATGAATTGATTAGTTTCAGAAGTATTTTATTCTTTTGCCCTTATCACGGTTTCCAGACTGATTCTACCCGCAGTGCTTTTCTACTACTCCAAAATCCACTGTCACAAAACACCAACTTCTCAGTTTGCTGAGAATGTTGTTTTACTTGCATTGTTCTCTCTCAGGTCCGTGGCTTCCTCACACACATTTGTTTGGCAGCCTGGCTTTCTGGCTTCCCCTCCCCAAGACCTCACACAACTAGGGGCAGCTCCTTAGTCTGATCTGTGACCTCCAGCCCACTCAGTCCCTGACTAAGGAAAGGGCTGCAGCAGCGCTCAGCAGCAGATCTGCATGACCGCCTCAAGCCACAGCTGAGGTGTATTACAGGGATTTCATGGGGGAAGCTGGGATACCAGCAGTTCACCTCCCTAGGATAAAAAGCTTGTCTTGCACTGTGCAAGCCTAGTGCTCTGCTAGAACGGGTAGGTTTCATCTTACCTATCTCAAACCGTCTAGAATTTAGGCATGCAAATCCAAACTCATTTTCTAAACTCAGTCTACAGTCAATGGAGAAAGAGAAGCACTTGATATATAGGAGGTGAATCACTCTTTCACCATAGGCTACAGATAGAAAACAGGCAATCTTCTTAAACAAACTTGTCATCCTCAAAATCTTCTGTGATAGAAATCTTCCTTTTCCTGCTTACCAAAGCTGCCTTTATAATCTGTTCAGAAGTACAGGCGTCCTTGCTTCTTTAATTAACAGGAGCCCAGAAAGAACTTGTTAGCATCAGCCCACTCACGTATTACGGTGCTTTAGAGAACTACAAACCTCAGCACGTTATTTTTTTCCAAGCTGAACATCAAAAGTGAAAGACTTCACTTGTATTTCAGGATCCCCCTTCGCTAAGCAGCAATGTCCAACAAGCTGCACAAAGGCATGGAAGGAAAAAGAGTCTATACACAAAAAGGTCAATTCCAGTAAAACCTATCTTTGTTAAATATAAGAATTCTCTTGCATACTGTTTGTAGCTATTTTTCTTTTGTTTCTATGTGTTTCTCAATCGAAACTCAAATGGAATTCTCTGTAAAAATACAGGTCTTGATACAACTCTAAAGACTAAACAAGGGTTTAAAAGAGGACTTGTCACGACATTTGAAAAGACATTCACAGAGCTGCATCAGACAGTCAATTTCCATCAGAGATGACACAAAAAACTAACACTGTACAATTGCACATTTTGTTCTTTGAATAATTTCTTCAAATCATAATCAAGATTACTTCCAACTCAGGAAGAAAATGTTTTGGCTGTCCTTTTTAATGACCCAGGTGTATTTGTAATTCAGCTTCAGTTTGAAGCCGGTGAGGATCAAATACCTATTGATCCTGTGACACCAACTCCTCCATCTGTGAAATGGGAATTGATAAACATGCACCAGGAATAACTGATATGGTATTAATAGTCTGCAAAGATCTGCATAGACACAGGTTAGTCATTAACATTTGGGATACATCTCTTACATCACTGGACACAGACCGGACACAGAACAGCCATTTCTTTAACATTCTGAAAGTTGAAATTGTGCGTGAATTGAGATGATGCTTTTACTGAAGTATGGAAGTGGGTGGCAATTGATTAGCTGCCATAGTAAATTATTAGTAATCTACTTTTGGCTTTTGTTTTAGTTTCAACTTCAAACCTCTTTCTCCTCCTTCACTGAATAAATACCATGCTGCTTGCTTTCAAAAATCTTTGTCATCTAGAACTGCAGCATCAAATCAGTGCTCATGCTTACGTTTCTTCTCCTTGAGCTCTTAATTTGTCGTCCCTGACAATGCTTGCCTATGCACTAGAGGCCTTTCATGTAACAAAATAGTTTCCAACAGACAAAATCATCTGAGAAATTAAAGGCTATTGAACTCTCTTCAAAGATCCAGATATGAGACATAACTGCTGTTGACAGACCATACCATCTGAAATGAAGCAGCTGACTGCCTTGCATAGCAGCTTCTCTGAGCACTAATAGAGCTGTTTTGCCTAGCCTGTGCAGACTGAGAACATCGCTTAGTTATTTGTATCCCATCAATTTAAATTAAAGCAAAAAGGCTAAGTGAGCACATCTTTTGGCACAACATCCATTTATCAGTCTGTGGCATTTTAAGGACAGACAAGCCCAGCTATTCCATCAGTTAATGGCTTTGCACCACTTGTCCTTTATTGGGGCCACCAGCTTAATTTTACTCTCGATTTCTCTCTTATTCATATGGAATTGGACAGCTGTGTACAGCAGGGAGCAAGGCAAGTGGTACTGGCACAGTGTACGTGAATCATCCATACTAGAACAAGTACGGCTTGGTAGGAGAATTACCATGCTAGGAAACCTGGTGTTAAAAAAAAAAAAACCACACACACACACACACAAACCTACAACGTTGAGCCAAAAAAACAGCTAGCCTTGAAGCTAAAGATAGCGATAGTACCCCCCACACAGAAGTCAAGTCATGGCAGCATTTCACTCAAGCAAACACATTTGTAGCTTTTGAGGTGATGAGAACTGCTGCTATGCAAACTCCCATCTATCAGAGTGCTCACTTGTGTGAATTTGGGTAGGTCATTCTTGAGTGGGGTTTGACACACACAAAGCACATCTCACTCACTGGTGAATGCCTATGTGTTCTTCCTTGCAAATCACTTCTTAATCCATGCCTTCATCCATCACCTATTG